TCCTTCAGCTACTGGATTTATAACATATTTTAAGGGCGAATAACAATTCTCTTTAAATAAATTAAATCTAGCTTTTGCCAAAGACCGGCTAGCGAAAGTATTGGTTAATGACCGCCACAATAAGTGCAGGAGAGAAATATAGATATATATACCAAGTTGGTGTGGCCTTAAGTTTGATGGCAGTTTAGTTTATTACAGTCAAAGAGAAGTGGAGACCAGGACGTACTAGTTCTGTGCCCTCGTCCATGTTATTCATGATATTTTCTATCATAGGACAATTAACTTGGAATATTACGAGACGTTTCGCCTGAGATCATCACTGAGAGCCATTATCCTTTGCGCAGATACAACTTATTAAGTTAAAAGCATAGTTAATTGTTAGTAAGTGTGGCGATGCATTTCATTCTGGTCATTCTCGAAATAATTCCAATTAAAAACCGAGTTAAAGTTTGAAATGAATAGAAGCATGATCAAAATAGTGGTGTAAGCATACAGGTCCTTCCCAATATCTATGTATAGGATCCAGATTAAAGCATGTAGATTAAAGTACACAAAAGAGAATTTATTGTAACAAGCCATTTAGAAGTAATTGAGGAATTGGTCTTATCGGAAACCAAGGGAGGATTGCTTTGGAATAGTGAACACTGTTTAATTGCACAAATAAGCCATCGGCTCGTCCTGCTACTCCCATAGAGGGTAAACCGAAGGCTTCTCTGCAAAATGCAAAGATCTTTACTACTCCAAAACAATCCTGCTTCGGTTTCCTGGTGAGACCAATTTACTACTTTCTTCTAATTGAAAAGTCCTGTCACAATAAATCCCAAAGAAATTCTTCGAAACCCAGTTTGTCTCCATATATACAGAGCCCGTATAGCTGTTATATGATAAAATTCAAGTTCGATGAAATATTTGCTCCAATTACTTATTTTAAAGGCGAACGGTTATCCAAGACGTACTAAAAGTGTACTGGACATATAATAAATGTTAGATTATTGTAACTCGTTATTAATTGAAATTATATGATCACTAATAGTTATTTTTCGACAATTCCACAAAAAGCATATGATATGGCAAAGAAGCCTGGCCTTCCTTGAAAATTCACATTTGCCTTGTGACCCAAAGGGCGCTCGTGGCAGTGTAGCCGAGTGGTTAGCGTGTCAAGCTAACGTCCTGCACTGCCGCGGCTCGAATCCCGCTGAGGGTGTTGATAAGACCAATGCGAGGTCGAAACTGCAGTCCACCCTGAATGAGAACAACCTTTGGGAAAGCAAAGCTATGTAAAAATTCAATGGAAACTTCAGCTCAACTTATATAAATTGTGGGAAAATTATACTTATACCAGTCCTTCATCACCTCAAACGAAATTGGGTGAATACATCTTATCACTAATAGTTAATATCTCCTTTTGAAAAACATGGGCATAATTTTGATAGCGTACTTATTCAAAGCCACAACACTGTCAATAGTTAGACAAAAATAAACTTAAAGCAGGATATAAGCATTGAAACATAATGCTCATTATTCTAAAAGATTTTAATTTCTAATATCTCTGATATGATTGGCCGAGGTTGCAGAGCAAGGCCTGCTGGACGAAAGGTTTAAGTTTTAATGGAATCTTTTGTAATTCATCCGGTTACCTTTTAAATATTGGTATTTCTAGGTCAAGAATTATCTCACATAGATAATAAAATAATGAACTGGATTGAATCGAAGTTTGAGAGCAGCATTCATCAAGTTTTATTAGAACTGATAGTCATAATAACCACCTATATAAGATATAAGCAATTCAAAGTAGGGTAATTTCGGCAGGCTGAAGTAATATTTTAGCATAAATGTGAAGTTTTCAAGAACTATGATTTTAGGTTGGTCGACTCAATAAGAACTATGTAAATAAGAACAGCAAGTATCCCGACTCAGCTCGAGATGAGCAACTTAAAATTATAAGCAACAAACGATAAGCATTACCTAATACGTTTTTTATCTAAGTAATAGTGAGAAAAATCATGCTGGTTAAAGGATTATTTTTGTAAAGATCATTAGATTGGTTTCGCCTCAATACTAAAATCTGAGTACCTCTTGAAGACCGGCAATATGTTGAAGGGTGAAACAAGCAAAGAAGTAGTGGCATACCTGCTGAACTGGCCCTGAAACTCTAGAATCTAAACCAGACTTGGCAGATGCTGGAGTAGATGCAGCCACTGCGACTTCGGTGGATGCTAGATGTATCTGTTCAAGGGCACGCCTGCGCTCGACGACTGAAGGTCCGTGCGGTAACATGAGCCTCGTTGGTGGGTCGAAGTGTCTGGCCAAGCAGCTCGAAAGGGGCCGATCTGGCGACATAAGCAGGGGAAGCACAGTCCCGGGCCCCTGAGTGATAGATGCAGATGACGAATGAGCGTGATGGTGAATGTGGAGGTGAGGCTGAGTGTGAGTTGATCCGACCATTGGCACAGAAGTTGTGGAAGATGTAGTGGCTAGATGGCTGGGTTCATTGGCTTCAGAAGAGTTAGGACAAGAGGCTACAGTTGATAAGTTCAGGTTCGGCTTGCCAACATTATTGGTGATCTGGAGTGATGAATATTTGAGACAGGGAAAGTTGTTGTCCACTTTACTCCCTTTACTCTCGCATTTCTCTTCTTTCCTTGGGTGTTCAAGTGTAACAATAAGAGAATCTGGTAATGCAGAGACTGCAGACGCGTCTGGTTGTGTCAGAAGAGTGTTTCTACCATCCTCGCTACTCGCACAAGTTCCAAAATCACAAGGGTAAGTAGATTTGGTGGTGCTGACAGGCGCCTGACAATGCGGTGACTCTATGGAGGATGGGGTCAAAATAAATGTGCCTATGTAACGAATGTATGAAGCAAAAACATAAAAAGCTCACGAGTAAATCATTGGTCCCGATCTCGTCACAAATAGTTTTATTCGAGAGAAAATTTCACTCATCCTAGGTCAGACGAGGTGCTGAAGGAGTAATAAATGAATTTGCCCACAAGTATATTAGGCGTCACGCTTTAAGTGAATTTCGCTTAGCATTGTCTCCAGAAAGGTATTCTTATAAACACTAGTTTGCGTTATCTCTAACTTTAATCAGACCGATACCAAAAAGATACATAGCTTCAAAAAATAGAAACCCGAAGACAGTTTAAAAGAAAACTTCCTAGGTCCTTTTTAATGGAGTTGGCCAATGTATATATCCGGTAAGGGTTAGACAAGCAGTCACCTTCATAATTGTAAGATGGGGATGTGAATAGCCTGAGACAAAATTAAATTGCAGCTGCACAGACTCATGCTTTATTCAAGTAGGTATAAGTGCAAATTGTCTAGAGGTATTTTCGACTATGCGACCATAATAAAGGTGGCATAAATTTTACTTATACTAGCTTTGCTTAATGGTTTATAGAAAGGGCAGAAGCAGTTAATATTTTTAGTCATTTAGGCTGGTTACTAGTTGGCATGGCAAATTCATTTGGGGAGAATCATAAAAAACCTTCGGTTTCTCGGGGAAATTTGTTTCCGGCATCATCTTTTAAGGCATTTAGGCATTGGAAATGCTGTTTTTAGGGGCAGTTGAAACTAGTGAGCAATTTTCCGTCATACTAAACGCATATGCAGAGTAAGAGAACATAATTGTATCAACCAGTCTTGTCTTAATAATGGAAATATATCAAGAGGAATATAGAAGGTAAATAGATAGGAATACAGATTCTGGCGAAAAGAAAATGGTGTACTACCTAAAAAACTTCTTGATTAATACAAGCGTATATTGAATAGATTAAAGTTAGGTATATTTTTTGACCTAAACTTTCAGTTGTCAGGATAGTTGAAGAATAATTAGTAATCGAGGATATGAAGACCAAGATGTTGCGGCCTTTTGTGCGGTCGCAGTCTGCTTTCGTTGCATAGAAGTTGTTTGACCTTGCTTTCGCAATTTAGTCATAATGGTAGGAAGACTGATAGAAACGCACCTTGTCCTAAGTCCATTGTATGCATAATTATTTCCAGATGGTCACATTGGTAGGAAGACTTATTGGAACGCACCTAGTCCGGGGTCCATTGTCTGCATGATCATTTCCAAAGTAAGACCGTGGACGTGGTACATTCCCAGACGTTTCGCCGGCATCGTCAGTGAGTATCTCCATTCTTAGCACCATGTGGTACATTTCCAGACGTTTCGCCGGCATCGTTAGTGAGTTTTACCATCCGTAGCACTATATTACAACTCGTCAAAGAGAAAAGTGAAGCCAATCCTTTGGCCAACATGTGCTAAACAGTTATGGTATCTCCCGTTCTGCCCTGACCTATCACATTTCCTATATCCTCCAATCACGTCTTAATTGTCACAATATTTTACTTGCTTAATTAAATGTGGTCGGTTCCCTTTTTTAGTGGCTTTCATGAGAACTCTCCGCACTCCACGCTGGCCTTCTCACCGCACTTCATCCTTGCGCTGGGAATGTGGATCGGAGTCTGCCATATTGTTGCGCAGTCCTTCTTCCCTAGGTCTTACCCCAGTCTCTCTCTTGCCCCGTAAGATCCGTCTGCCCTCTCTCT